TACAGCAAGCTCTGCTACTGTACAAAGTAAGAAGGAGATAGTGTAAGGCGCACACTAAAGCTATTAAAGCTGCACGACCTAGCAGCTAGACAACAGCAGTACCTGCGCAATCCACTGCACAAGCGATTAACCCTACGCCCTATAAGGCACTTTGTTTAGTTACTTATCCCTTAGGATAGTAGATTAATCCTTTGCATTATACAGCAAGCTCTGCTACTGTACAAAGTAAGAAGGAGATAGTGTAAGGCGCACACTAAAGCTATTAAAGCTGCACAACCTAGCAGCTAGACAACAGCAGTACCTGCGCAATCTACTAAAAAAGTAATTAACTATACTATTATAATAAAATCTTATTAGCAACTAACAACTCTGCGTAATAATAGAAAGAATAAGGAATAATTTCTATTATATAAATAACTTATAAAGAACATAAGAATATTAGAGGCAACACTATAGAACAAGACTAGCCTAGAGTACTAGAATAATAAAATTAACATGTTAAAGGCTCTAATAAGCCTATAAACTTAATTATACATAAGTTATATAATTACTAATTTATATATAACAACTTAGAAAGGCGCTACCTTTTTAAGTGTGTACATAAAAAATTTTAAAAGATAGACACTATAAGACTTTTTAGCACTTAGCTGCACATTTAAAAGAGAGCTTATATAAGTGCTAGAGAACAAAGAAATTACACTACAGCTAGGCACTAAAAGTACCTAAGCCTAGAAGCTGTATAATATAGCATAAAAAAAAGTAATTGCACTAAAAAAGCTTTATATGCAACCCTTATTACTATATAAGGCTTTGCATAGAAGCAGACTAAACATAATGCTGCTATTAACACTAAATGTACTAGTGTTACCTGCTTCTACACCTTAGCTAGCACTACACTAATTACTATACAAACAATACATGCCACTCTACCTAACGCCTGCTCCACACCCTTAATTGTACACACCACCGCCTACAGTAGTGTATGCACTACTAATACTACCTGCACAATCTATACTACATTACAGCCTATATAAACTTCTACCTTAGAAGGAAACTGCTAAAGAAAAACTTCTAGTAAATAAAATTATATAATTCTAAAAAGCATAAAAAAAAATAATAACTATATAAGTTAACTATATAACATCTTTATAAATAAAATAAAGATTTTTATTAATTTATATTAATAGCTAAATATCTAGAAAACTTAGTACATAGACATCTTTCTAGATATTCTAAAAAGTTAGGCAAATATATACTATATACATAACATAGGCTCTAGACATAACTAGAAGCATTTATATAACACCTTAAGTAGTTACTTTAACACTAATGTAAACTATAGCTAGTACTAGACAGACTAGATAATAATAACTTTTACATAATACTAATAAAAGAACTTTAATAAGAGTTTATATAAAGTTTTTAAAATAATAATTAATAAGCTTACACTTATATAAAAAGCACTAAAAATAAAATTTTAAAAAAATGTTTTACTACACACTACTATTATATAAGCCTATTAAGAATAACTAGAACTAGAATATGCTATGTTTACTATTAAGCTCTTATGTAAAGCTTTATTTAGTAACTTATAGGCATTACTTTAAGTTACTATATGTAACAATTCTTGTTCCATCTTAGGTCGCCTAGAACCCATCCAAAGGGTCCCCGTATCAGCTCCAACCCTGGCTCGACCCTGACTTGACCTGGCCCTGACTCTGCCCTGCCCCCTGCTGTTACCCCTATTCCCTTATGTATTTAGTCGCACCTTGCCCTGTAGCTAGCTCAGTAGTTTTCTGATATCCTACGTACAAGGCCTATAGGTGTCATTAGTATTCCTAGGTCTCTGAGTCCCCACGCACTCCCATATGCCTCTGAGTGGATTCATACCGCATTCAGACCCATTGTCTTGCCTGCGCTGTTACACTATAGACTAAAAGGTAAACTAATACCTCTAAAAACTGCCTAATGTATACTACATAAACTACTAATATAACTCTACATAATAAAAGTCTACACAACAAGAAGAAAGCTTCCCTTTATATAAAAAAAAATAATATAGAAAATTTTTATTTAGGTTTAGGCTATAATTTAGAGATAACTATATATAGATAAAGAAGTGCTTTATCTACTATAAAAAAATATTAGTTATTAAACTACTCTTATAATAACTATACATAAGTAAAGAACTAGTATGTTACTGTATATAAAGATTTTTATAATAAAACCTTATTATGTAAAGCTATTACTTTATACATCTAAGACTTTAAAGGTTACCTTAAGAAAAAAAATAATTTATATAATATAAAGAAAATAAAATAAAAAAGTAAAAATGCTAAAAAAGCTATTAACTACTTTACCTTTACTGCCTATTTATACTGTGTAATAAGAGAGGACATTTACAGCATTAAACCTAAGAAGTATGCTAAGCAGTTTATTCTTAATAACTAATACTATATAGTATACTAAAGCAAACTATAAGACATAAGTGTAGTAAAAATCTTTACTATTAGCAAGTTTTAATTTAAAGTGTAAGTATAAAAGAACTTATATATAAAAATTAATTAAATACTTAGCTAAATAAATATTAGCTTTAAAGGCTAGACACTAAAAAAATTAATTAGTACTATATAAATCTAGAACTTAATTAGTCTAGTTATATACTATATTTTAGAGACTTTAACACTATTTCTGCTATTACTAGCAGATGCTAACTAACTTAGGGTATACTTTAATAACATTTTAAATGTTATTATATGTAAAGATAAAACTACTATACTTATTATATAAAAATAAAGACACTTTTTTTTTAATATTAGTAAAAAAGAATTTATATCTTTCTTTACTAAATTAGAACTTTACTGCCTTTACTGCTAATTTAGACACTTTTGCATAAAGAGACTTTAGAAGATGCTAACTAGCGCTAGC